TATGATAAATAATTAATTTTAATTAATATTTTATATATTTTTTAAATTTAAAAAATAAGAAATCCAAAATTACAACGCAATTCAACTCAACACAACAACCCCTCCCAAGCAAGACTAAAGTTACATATTTTTAGAAAATTTTCAAATACTTTTAAAGTAAAAAATTAATTCAACTAAATTCAATTAACTGATTATTACCAAAAAAAAAAACAATTAACTGAACACCAACTAAAGTCAATTAACTGAACACATGGTACTATGAGTTTTATTCCCCTATAAATTGGGATCATTGGGCAGTACCATTGCACCTGCATCCCTACGAAAATGGAGATGATTGATGTTTGGAACTTGAAATAGAGGAGAGAAACTGATTCCATGGATCAATACTGTTTATTCCATTGAGTGTCACAGTACACCCACATATGGTGGAGAGAATCAAAGATATTTTTCCAGCTAAAAAAAAGCAAAACCATAAGTTAAGCTCTTGAATTAACCCTAGAATCGCTATTAAGGTCTTAGACTTTAATTGATACAGTTAAGCCCTTGAACTCTGAGATTAAAGCAATTAAGCCATTCTTCTTACTCCAACTTAATTGTCGTTTGGGATTACTCGCCTGACTTAATTACAGTTGAGGACACAACCCGCTTGGCTGCTTGGATGGCAAAATATTGCCGTGTCATGCTTACACGACAAAGGATTTAATATTTGACTTGAATTTTTGATTTATTTGATAATTTAATTTTTTTATTTAAATAAAATAAATTCGAGGTGCATTACTAATATTTGTTTTAATCACTACAAATTGAGATTATTGAGAATTATGATTGCATCTGCATCCTTATAATAAGTCTAGACGACTAGGGAGTCATCACCTCCCCAATGAGAAGAAAAAAAGAGATAAAAGGAACTCAAGCTAGTGTTGATTATGGTACAAACCCCCCAGTGCCCCGTGGATCAATGAACAATGAAGCTCACTCTAAAAAAAGAGAGCAATGAAGCAATGAGTGGTTTTGGATTTGGGATCAAAGTTGTTGTCGCCTGTTGGTTGATGATATGATGATGTCTGAGCCGATTATTCATAATTTACTGGGCTGATGCATGCAGGGTTATGTAAAATAAAAATACTGCAAAACAGTTTATTTTGGAAAAAAA